TAAACTTTTTACACGCTTTGGAAAATCTCAGAAGTTCGCGGTAGTCACTTTTCGGTAAGGAACTAGGGGACTCGGTTATTGTATCGAGGGGGGGGTCGAAACGATCGCAAAGGCGGTATACTACGTATACGCGCCAAAAAAAAATCCGGAAAACTAGGGAAAACTGAAATCATACAAAAATTATGTTTCAGCGCTTATTAGTCAGCTCTAGTGACAATTCTTGAAAGTTGGCAACGCTGTTTTTCCTCAATTTATAAAACAATTCATCCGTAAAACAATCGATTCTTGATGAAGCAGTTTATCTCACCTGAATCGATATTTGTAATGGATTTGGATGGAGAGTAAGCTGTGTTGTCAACTTGATAAACCGCCACTGTTTAGCTTCCAAAAAACCCAGTACCTAACTCGCATTAAAAAATTGGCCGCCGCGTCCCTTCAAAAGTAAGCACGACAACAATGTAATTGCTTTTTTCGAAAGTGCCCGACTCCGAAAGGACAAAAAAAATTTTAAAAAAAACCATGGAAAACTGAATTCACACAGAAAAATATATTTTAGCGCTTATTGTTCAGCTCCCCAAAAAATCTTTATTGTTCAGCTCCCCAAAAAATTCTTATTGTTCAGCTCACATAAAAACCTTGTACCCACACGGAGATAAAAATTTCACCGCCGTGTCCCCTCATAGGTAAGCATAACAATTATGTAATCGCTTCTTTTGAAAAGTGCCCGACTCCAAAAGGACAAAAAAAAGAGGGGAAACTAAATTCATACAGAAAAATATGTTTCAACGCGTATTCAGCTCCCATAAAAGCCCTGTGCCCATCATGGTGACAAAACTTCGTGAGTGGTAGCCGCAGTGTTGAGGTCATATGGATCTCTGAAGTTTTCGGATCGCGCATCCGAAAACTTGAAGTCCTTCTGCCGAAATTCGGGTCAAACATCTGAAATGCTCCGGTATTTATCGAAGGGTTCGGTTTCTGCCAGGGCCGGATTGACTTGCTTGCCGCCAATGGGCCGCCTGTATTTTGCCGCCCTCTTCTCAATCGTTTTGAAACATCAGTAAAAATCATTAAGTGAACGTGCCGGAGGAGGAGGGGTGCTCAAGATGCGTTTACTCGTGTTGGACACTTTTTTGCGAAAGCCCTGTCAACACTACTAGCAAAAATTCACGTAACTTGGCGCGAAAGTTAAGTTCCGTAAACTTATCTCTGTGTGGACAAGGACTTCGATTTACAAGAAATGAACGAAAATGTTATGAAAGCACAACATAAATGTGCTTTAATAATTTTAACTTCCGCCGCCGCGCCGCGCCGCGCTGATTGCACCGTGTTTGGCGCAATGCGTGAAGTATTCCTACAGTCTTGTATGCGCTATGCGTTTCACGCCGACCGCTGCTGCACGCACTAAGTTTAACGTAATGCGTGAAGTATTCATGCAGTCTTGTAGGCGCTATGCGTCTCACGCCGCCCGCTGCTGACCGCAGCGACCGCGCGACCGCACCGCATTATCTTTGACGCAATGCTTGAAGTATTCATGCAGTCTTGTAGGCGCTAATATGTGTTACATGCCGACCGCCGCGCCGTGGGTTTCTCTTGTTCATCTCAAGTTCTCTTCATCATAGCTCTCTGCGCCGCACCGTTTCCAGGCCAAATTCCGTGCTTGTTTTCTCTCTTAGTCTTAACTCGACTAATTAAAGGTGCTGTTCATTGTATCACAGGAAGACGACAAAATTAGAGATATACTCTCGGGAAATGAGAGATTTGTCACCTTTTTTCGTTTGTAATTTTTTCTCTGAATCCGATTTTTCTTTATAGCTATATTTAAAAAAATTGCAAAAGCCGCTTCCTAAATTTGCCGCCATGGGCAGCAGCCTATGTGGCCATCCCCTAAATCTGGCCCTGGTTTACACATCTGAAGTAATTTGGTATATACTAAAGTACCTCAGATGTTTGACCCGAACTTCGGCGCTTGGCCTCAAGTTCTCGGATGTGCGATCC